GAGGTGTCTAGAATTCACTGGGCTTGATCTGTGCACAGACTGTTCATGAATCAGGATCCAGAAGCCCATTAAAACTCATCATTACCCGCTCCTTCACAAGAGAGCGGCCATTTAGCAGACAGCCTGATCAAACAGTATGCACGCCACGCCCCAACTCCCTCTGTAATACCCGAACATGACCGGCACAGGGTGGCATGGGCGGAGTCATCAGTCAATTTAAAACCCGCAGTTGAAGCGGCACATGCAGCTTGTGTTGACCTGAATCCACGTGTAGCTAGAAAACAAAACTCCACTTGTACAAACAACATAATAAACCGTGAAGTAGGTATACATTTCCTGTTAACATGGCTGAATCCAAATGGACACGGTATCCTATTCTCTTTGCCAACATTTGTAAACTGAAAGCCGAGATCAAAGTCCGGTGTGCATGAGATTGCATCCGCCCTGGCTGGTGTTGGTTTTATATGTAAATGTTGCCCGTCTGACATTTACCCGTGTCTACTCTACCTTAGAACAAATAATCCTCGAGAAGAAGCTTTCGCCAGAGAAAGAAGAGGAGGAGGGGTGAAGTTAGGAGGAGTTGGAGGCGAAACTAAAGGACCACTTAAAATATATATGAACTAAATCAGTGCTGTGGTTGACAACCAGACTGGCAACTTGGCATACTCTGAGAGAAAGCAAGACGATTGGAGAGTTTTGCGAGAGAGTAAATGAGCGATGAGAAGCAGAGAACGTTTGATCGGTTCCACCTGGTCGGGAGTGGCAAAAGAAAATAAGCAAGATGTGAGTGGGACTGTGTGTGTGGGCGTGTGCACACAGGTGCACGGCAAGAAAATGTAGTTCATGGCTAGGCTTGGTATCTAGCACTCATTTAAAGCCAGACCAGAGAAGTGATCCGAGTGTGTGTGTGTGTGTGTGTGTGTGTGTCAGAGGAGAGTCTGATGGTTCAAACAGCACAGACCAGACTGTCACTTCATAAGAAAAACTCTCAGCTCCATGGATTCATCACTGAGGTTTAAATCACCTAACATGGTTATTAAATGTTTAAAACCTTACTGTGATCTGAACGGTGGGTTTTCCAAACACACGCATAGAAACATCATATTCACAAGAAAAAAGAATATCAGACCAAATCCCATCAATCACAGTTTTTGCTCGTTGGGATGCCACGGGGGGGAGAATCAATTTGCAACAGTAATCACAGAACTAAAGACTGCAGCGGTCTAAAATACAGCCACACAAAGCGAGATAACTCCCCGTCATCTCCCCACAACAGCATGAACTGACAGTATCCCAGTGGCAACTTTGACATTCTAAAACACTTGCCTGAAAAACAGGCAAATCCAAAAAAAACAGCAAAAGAATGTTGTCATGAAAAAAAAGAAACACAGCAAGCTGCAAGTTGAGTCAGATCTCAAGAGTGTGCTTCATACGTTTGTCAGTCCCTCTCCAAGGACTCCCAGAGGACTGTGTGCAAGTCTTAGTGGAGCCAGATGGTCCGCATCTTAGGTATTCAGCTGAGGCAGTGGAGCAAGGAGGTGTCACAGTCGATCCTAAAGGCACCCTTCCATTGCCACCAACAAAAACATCCACGCACATACACACAAACACAGACAACAGAATGTCTGTATCCTGCAATGTGTACATGTTTTTGTAAATGGAAGTCAGCGTCAGCACATTAAGTGTTGAAGGCGGTGATGTGCATGCACATCGACGGTATCTGTGTGCATCTTTGCTGTATGTGCGCATATCTCTATCAGTGCTGCCAAGCATTGAAGTATACATGTGTTCACTTTCATATTCAATTATTTTGCGCTATGACAGAAAAAAAACGGTGGACTGCACGCTTTTGTGTGTGTATACCGTATGTGTGCTACTGAGCAGTGACTATACATATATACATGTGGACTATGTAAGTATTAATGCTCATTTATGGGTTATGGGAGTTTCCTGACCGTTTGATAATAAGTGTGTACAAGCATTACAGTGAGATTGTCGACATTAAATTATTTATGATTGTTTTTTGTGAGTATCCCGTTGATGTGTTTCCACATGTAAAAATCCTATCTTGTTTTAAGAAACCTGGATAAGCCCTTATCCTGTATACGAGCAACCTCAGCTGGAGAAAGGAAGCCGCGATACTGTTGCATGTATACACCTAATTCCGGTTATTGAGCGCCGACGACTACCTGTGCAGGGGCCGCTTCAGCCAAGTGATGCAACAGAAATACAAACAATGGCGACAGCAAAAAAAAAGCGCCTCACTTCTGGAGCGACGAAGAAAAACACTTTTGTCTTTCGGGAATAAAAAGAGGCTGAGTTGTAAGTTCTTTGGGCAATATTAGCAGAGAAGAAATAAGCAATTAAATTGTCAAGTGGTAGTAAATGTACTGCGTAGTGTTTAGTCGCTCTCATCTCTGGTTTGTTTTTGTAAACATCACAGCGCCTGCGCAAATAAGACGCAGCAATTAGGAACCGGGATACTAATATGTATCATTTATACGGGGGGTATGAATAACCCAATTACTCTGTGCTCGTGTAAATATTCAATCCACAATATGATCATACCTGGGATAAGCCTCATGAATTCATTTTTCATGTCCATGTAAACACAGTGATTGTCGTATAAGCCATGCATGTTGGTTTAAATCGATGTAATTCGATTTGTTCCTGGGAGCGTGTGTGCATTGGGCTGGATTTCCTCACAAATGCGTGCCATGGCTTTTCTGGCCATGGCACGCATCATGGTGACCCATTTTTTGCCTCTCCAGATCCCACACCACAACTCCTCTGTTTACTGTGGATGTGTCCCTTGTGCCTTGTCCCATATCCCATAATCCTTTGCCCCTGTTCCAAGAACCCAGGTTCGGCTATTGTCCTCCTCACCTGTTCTACATTGCCAATCATCCACAGCACCCCCCCCCCCCCCTTTTCTCTCCCTTCATCTTTGGCCAACGCTTCTCTTTTATTTTCACCTATTTCTCCCTCTGGTTTGCTCTACTTACATCACTACTTGCATTTTCTCGCTAAATTCATCCTCAATCGTTTTCTCACTTTCTACCGATGAATTAAATCGTCTCTTCTCCCATATTTTCTATTTTTCTCTCTATATCTTTTCCTATCTCCTTCCTAATGGGTTAATGCAGGGGGACCCGACCTCATTAAACATGGAAAACAGAGAGAACGTACTGCTCTCCACCTCTGCTGCTCGTCTCGCATCTTCAACCTCCGTCCTCACACTCCCACCCCTCCTTCAGTGCCGGGTCCTGCCTGGGCCTGAAAGATGCTGTCTTCCTCTGGGCTCTAGAGGAAACCTTGTCGGGCTGATTCCAATAACTTTTCATTTTCCTTCTGCTCCTCTGGACTGCCCTGGGTTATGCCCTGTGCTCTTCCACACAACTGCACACACTGACATGCACAAGCCTGGGCTTGTAGTTTGAACTTTGGTCTGCTTGTTCTTTGTTTTCAATTTCTTGTTTCCAGTCTGTCTGTATGTGTCCACTCTTTCTTTTTAAAGGACTTTCCGGACATGATTTTTACAGTTCCCCATAAATAAATTGGGTTTTGACTGTGAATAGCATATGTTGAATAAACATGATTTAATGTCATTGTTTTGAGCAGGCTGAAAGCGCGATTGCTTTCGGGTCATGTACTGACATATAAAAGCTTCAAACATGATCCTGCAAGGACATTTTAGATTCAAGGATCCTAGAAATCAGACGTCCTTAAGCACAGCACCAAACTGCTACCTGCTCACTCAATGTACATCAATGTATGGCATGAGTAGAAACAGGAACGCACATGTCATTTCAAATTCTAAGTACCACAATCCAAATTCTACATCAAGTTTTGAAAGGCACCTGAGGCACTCACACCCCCCGGCACCCAACAGCATGCTTCCAGGGTGGGGGGGGGGGGGGGGTTTGTTGCTAACAATAACTAACCCAGGATGCTGGGCCAGGCTTCCAATCCCTGGTCCAACACCCCACCCCACCGCACTGCCTGTGGATTTGACAGCCAAGAAGGCCTAGCTCGTGTGCTGCCAGCCAGCCAGCAATAGCTCAGCTTCATCCAGCCCTGGAAACATGGCAGATGGCAACAGGAGAGAACAGAAGAGAAGACATTGTGTGTGTGTGTGTGTGTGTGTGTGTGTGTGTGTGTGAGACAGACAGAGACAGGTAGAACGATAGAGAAGAAAGCGGGAGTGTGCGACCACATGCTTACTTGCCGATGATACCGTCCTCTATGTCCTCTAAGCAAGCCAGAGCTAAACAAATGGTATAATATCTTTGCTGAATCCAAACTTGCACCTATAGGAGCAGATTAATAATAGGTCCTCAAAGTTTAGCTGTTATTTTACACCTGTGTGCATCTCCAAACACATCTGTCCACCACTGTGCCCTGACTGTATGTGGGTGACCAATCAATCTTTTTTTTTGTCATTCAGGGATCTTATGGGTTTGCACCGTGGCCAAATAGAGGTGCAGCTCTTCAATGAATGGACATTTGATTAGTTCCATTACATTGATGGATCCTTGATGAATAGCCTTCACACCGTCCATTTGCTGTGAGTACGAGTCTATTTTAGGCTGTGACACATGTCCGCACAAAAGCTTTAAGAGATAATTCTCCACATTTCCACATGTATTCATTAAGCTTCTCGAGTGATGATTCATGTAAATGATTGAGCTTATATAGTAGTATTAGTGCACAAGAAGACAATCTTTGTATGTGCCAAAATCTAATAAAATCACATCAGTAGAAGAGTCTTGTCTGCAATTTATGACCCAGCTGAACGGCTTCTCCGGCTAAAGCCAAAATGGCTTCCCAGACAAGTACTGGAGTACAGAAACTCCAAGCAAAGTACAGCCCTCGCTCACTGGCAAAAACTCCCAAGGCAAGATGTCATCATAAAAAACTTGAGGAGCTCACGGACGCCCACTTTAATGATTTATTTTGTAGTTAGCCCCCTGCACTCTGTTTCATAATGCAGGACTCACCTCGGATGATGGACAGCTTGGCATTGACAGTAATCTCTGCCTCGCTGTTCTCAGCAACGCATTCGTAGATGTTCTCGTCACGTGGCGCTCGGAGAGGCTGGATTCTGAGTACGGCACCGGCACCCTCGTCAAACTCAATGGTCTGTTGGGCAGAGTCAACAACAAGGTTAAGTTAGACAGTTTTGAACTCAACTTGGCATTAGCATAGAGCGATAGAGCAAGCTATTTTCTTGGAGGATGAGTTATTATGTTTTAAATGTAACTAGGTTAAACTAAGAAGTCAGTTTGTCAAAATTGATCAGAAACATTACCCAAAACCAAAGACATATGAAAGTTACATGTTATTATGTTTATTATGTTAGTTACAAAAAGATATCCTTGGTAGGGCACTCACTGCCGAGGTGCCCCTGAGCAAGGCACTGAACCCCCAGACTGCTCCCCGGCACGGTAAAGTTAAAGTAGCACGGGTTAAGTGGCTGCCCACTGCTCCTAGTACTAGGACTGTGTGCTGTGCTATGTAAAATGTGGAACCATACAAACTTGATTTGATTTGACAATCCAGCCCATCCCAATATCTCTGCGTGTGATGTGCTCTCTTTTCTTTGTTTTCATCTCCTCTTTTCCATCTGTAATTATGCTCTTTGTTCTCTGTAAAGCCCGTTGCTGAAAGTGCTTCTTAAAAACCAAATCAGGCAACACTCACGCACCATGTGCCGGGAATATTGAATAGAGAGAAGCGGTAGTTATGATAAAATAAATATTACATAAACGTTAATATGCTTTGTGGGCTATACTCACGTTAACAACATAAGGCACTTTCCGTCAATTCTACAATAAAGTGGTGTCATTTTGGTTAGATGTGTTTGTGTACACCGAGTTTTTAAAGATATGTATCATTCTAGTACAGCAAAAAACATGGCAAAGTGCAGTTTCAGCATTACGAAGAAAATGTAAATCTACAGTGTTCTACCTAACTGGACATCAGCATTGGGGTGTTTTAAATGTCAAGATCAATGAAGTACGTCTGAAATAGTCTGGACCTGCCAATAAAGTTTTTACTTTTTGATTTAATCAATCAAAACAAATGTAATAATTCCCTCATTACAAACAGTAGCACAACTTTAATAGGCACCTTTTAAATGTGTCTATATTTCAAAATGTGATGCCAGTGGCTGAGAGAACGGCAGTTTTGACACAATAGGTCGTGAAAAACACATCAACAGCCATGTATCCTGTAGCAAGAAGCAGAGACACAAGGCTAGAATTTAAATCGTGGCATCTTTGAACCAATTACCCCTTCCCTTTAATATAGCCAGTCAGATTCTCTTTTGTCTAATTCCAGTTGGATGAAATGTTTCGAGAAGATGGTCAGCCTGTCGGCCATTCTCACGGCAAACCTACTCTTCCAACATCGATCGTTCCTTAGAGGAGCTTACACCATCTCAACGAAGGGTTCAGTGCTGAGATCTCTGAGCAAAGCATGACTTTGAGATACAAGTGCAAGTCGTGAGCAGCCCTGCTGCTCCACTGCTGCACATCTCAGGGCTGAGCCACTAATTAGGCTAAAAACACTGCAGAGCATGGCATCGTGATCGATATCAAAGCGGCTGTCGAGAGGGAAGAACAGGGGGGTGGAAAAAAAATCACAACTACTTCAAAAACCCTTTGCACATTATTTCATTTCTGCTAAACGGAGGAAGAGAAGTGTCCGTTCTGGCGGGCTCCTTCACGCCCTTGGCTTTGTTTCCCACTTAGCATGCAGAAGAAAGGAACGTACAAACACAACTTTTTATTTTGTCTTCTGTTGGGACGCTGCTGCTCCCCCCGTTGATGTTGTTGTCATTATTGTTTTTGCTTTTTTAGCCCCCCTCCCCTGTGGTGGTCTTCATGCTGCAGTGTGTGCATGTCTATCTCTGTGCGCCGCCGACGTTAACGAAAGCAACTTTTTAATTAAGAGACACTGAGCATCAATCAAGACTTTTTAGAGATGCCATCTGGGACGCCTGCCGAGAACTGAACAACAAACATCATGAATAAGGCACACACACACACACACACACACACACACACACACACACACACACACACATGCATTCACACAGACAGGGCGGTTTGCAGAAAAAGAACCAGTGCTGGAAACAAGAAAGTGACAACTGAGACAAAGTCAGTCAAGTGCAAAGAGGACAGAGAGGGAGGAATGGGAGGGCTCTGCATTGCGTTACTGGGCAACTGTAACCACTGGTGGACCTGCACATGGCCAAGACATTAGAGAGGCCAGTCCATGGAAACTATTTGTGAAAACCGTGGGTGTAGAAAGCAAACTAACTGCAAAAAGAGACTGTGCTTGTAATGTGAAAAGTAGTGCAGGGCAGCGTTTAGTGTTGCATGACAATTCAGTGACGTGGTACGGGACAGCGACAATGAAGTTGCCCTCCTCACCCGTAGAGTACAGCGGTGATCAGCAGGGCTCGTTGACTCACCTCTATACGCTGGGAGTTGACCTTCTTGCCCTTCTTGTTCCAGCTAACCCTCGGCTTGGGGTCGCCTGTTGCCTGGCACACAAAGGAGACCACGCCCCCCGAGACGCCAATCTGGTCAACGGGAACTTTAGTGAACCGCGGTGATGCTGGGGGAAGACAAGGACGGACAGAAAGAGAGAGAAAGACATTAGCACACGCCATGAGACGAGTTGTCACTACCGCAGTTGTTTTCGGTGAATGCACTTCCGAAAAGACAGACTACCAAATGTCTATTTCTACACACGGATACGAGTGCGCCTCTTTGTAATGTTACGCAATCCCACACTTTCCTCTCTCCGAGCCCCTCTGCATCTTATTCTCACTGCACCCACACACACTGTTCCTTCAGCAGAGCGAAGTCTTGGATATGTAATAGGAGACAGCCGGGTTCAGCTTTGGAGAGATACAAAATAAATAGACAGACAGACATTCAGAACAGACAAACAAACAGAGCGACAGATCACCATCCATCCATAGTGGCCTATCGACATCAAATCAAGTGTCGCACCGGTTGCTTTTTTTAACCACTGGACCACCTGAATCACCCCCTGCAGTACACACATACGTGGAAATAAAGAAGAGTGCCCTTCCTCATCTAGTACCGTAGTTTCAGTGCTGTGTAATTCTGTGTGTAAATCATGACGCTGTGAATTTATATGTTGAGCGTGTGCCAAGGTGCTGATGATTAGTAGCTCAAAGATCTCTCCATAGGGAGAATGGAATCTGAGTATTATCAGCACAGTAGCAAACTCTAAGAAAAGGGCTTGAGGAAGATGAGGCAACGCATGTGGGGTTTTGTTTTTATTTTAAATTATTCAAACAGTTTGACACTACTTTTGCTGTTTGATAGAGTATTTCGCTGACAAACCCACAAGAATTGGTGCAATTCTCACTTGGACCACGACAAAATGTTTGCAGGCATAGAACTGAGACCCTTTGTGTAACTGTCCATCAAAAAAAGTAAGTCATTTTGGTGCCTTTGGTGCAGATTTGTTCTTGCATGTCTTGGTTGCAGAGGGTTCAAAACAACAAGCCTGATAGAAATAGAGAGAAAGAGAGAGAAAAAGGAACAGATCCTCCTGGGGAACTCGTTATATTGGAATCATACAGATATGCGAGGATGATCAAACGGCTAGCGCATAACGTCAAATTAATAATTAAGGGACCATAGGCCGACACCAGTCTCCAGGCACTACTAAACACATATGAAGGAGAGTTCCTGCATGTATTATTGAGTAAGGAGAGATAGAGAGTGGATATTTAGAGAGAACGAGGCAAAAAGAAATAGTGTAGGACAAGGGAAATGAAAAGAAGAAGAAGGGTGAGTGTACTGCTTCAGGAAAGCGGAGGCACCGCATGCAAAGTTCATCTCACCGCCCCCAACTAACAAGCCAAATATCCCTGACGCAAATATTACACCAGCATACACAAACTGGTTTAACTAGCGGTCGGTCGGCTAGTTAATCTCAAAAGCAGTTTTCACAATGTCCTCTACCAGCTGGATTTCTTCAGGTAGGAGAGGATTTCTAAAGGATGAGTGCCTACGCACGTCACAACAAACACCAAAATGTGTTTCTGCCCTGCTTACAAGTGTGCGCCAGCGTCAGACACACTTAACCTTGATTTTACGAGCTTAGATGACTGTGATTGCAAGATTATCACTGAAAGCAAGAATATGTGCTGTCCATGGTCAAATGAACTAAAAGAAATGCTATAGTTTTGTTTTTTCAGACTATGGTAGGCAGCTAGAGTTATTTACAAGGAGCTGAGCGGAGCAACTTTTATCTTGCTTATATTTTTGTCATCTGCATATACGGTATATGCAGCTCTAGGGGTAGATCGTGACACTAACTACACTGCCAGGATTAAAGGCGTTACTCCCACTGTGCACACAGCAATTCAATTAAAGTGCTAACTTCATTGCATTTGTGGATTGAATGGTCATATGATAAAACATCATCCTGATTGGCTGTGCGTGTTGGACATTGACAGACAACATGCTGAGCTAAATAAATCAGCCAAAGGGCAAGGATGAAACTCTTCAGCTTCAAAAACACTGCTGGCAATCATTTTGATGTTGAAAGTATAGATTCCTGGCACTCTCAAGGTCAAATGAAAGAGTACATGTCTTGGCTCCCTCAAATATTACTCTGCATCTGTTAAAAAATAAGCCGATAGAAGGACGATTTTCCTAAATCCTCATTCTAAAAGAATAATCTAATCTAAAAGAGCCCAGTTTTGATGAGGATATGTAATGGCAGTTGAACATAAGAAATGATGATCTTCCAAACATGTCCAGCATTGGAGCATTGGCTGAAGAGGTTGTTCTCAACCTGTTGCATATTGTTTAAATGTACCATTAAAGGCGGGAATCATTAACAAAACTGACCTTCTGATGAGATTATACACATCACAGATTACCCACCAAATTAAAGATGGAAAGTCTAACATAAATCATCTACTCTATATTTTACAGGCGTATATATTATGGAGGTTGTGTAGGCGGGTGATATGAGCACTGTCCATGTGAAGGAGTAGGCCTCCTTTATTTGTCCGTTGCAAACAATGGTCCCTTTTAGCATTTTTCAATCTCAATTTCCATTCTGAATCTGCACAATGCAGCTTTACACAACACAGCTCCTCTGCAGTTGACCTCCCGTTACAATGTGCCCTCTGTCGAGACAGAAAAGGGATTTACACAGAGCAGGCCTGTGGCAGTGGTTCTGCTGAAGGCCAGCGCTCTTTGATTAGTTTTCCCTTGGACCATTCGACATTTCCACCCAGTCGCCTTCTTCCCTGTTCTTCCCTCTTGCTTCACAGGATGAGGGAGATGTACAGTACAATGAACGCACCAGCCCACACGTCAGTCTGGATTTAACTCCTGACAGATCCAGGATTTTCTCATAATGGACTGTTTTCAACGTTACCTCGGGAAGGTTTGAAGAAAGCTGGGGGGGCTACCACAAAAAAAAGGGGTTATATATATCTATATATATCTATATCTATATCTATATCTATATATATATATATATATATATATATATAGGGGTTGTCGGAGAGGAGGAGGTGGGAGGTCAGTGGAAAAGAGAAAGCTAGAAGAGGAGAGGAGGTGACAGGAGGACCAGGGACTAGAATATATGATGTAAAGCGGGAGGGCAGGACAGAACGTGTAGCATATATCATGAATCCGAAACTTTTAAAAAGTGTTCTCCTTTCTTCTGCATCAAGTTTCACAACAATTCTAACACCTCCTTATAGAAGACACTTCATACATACTGCCTGAGTGCATTTTGTGAAATGATGGCTGTAAACCGATCACCTCTATTGTCCTTTGAACTATATATGACGTCCTGTTATCTCTGCACAATATGTTCAGTGGGTATTTATGTTATGTTGTCCCGTTTCACACAGACTATTAAAGTGGCGTAGACTCTCCTGGAAACCAGAAAATGACACATAATTATATAACAGAAGTACCGTTTCAGGTCTGCTGTCTCTCTCTCTCTCTCAACACTCACTTGCTCACTTACGTGCTCTTTCTAATGTATTCTTTTTTTTTACACTAGTCAGGTAGTCAGTTTAATATTTTTCAACGTCATAAACATTATTTAACTTCCAATCAACCCAGGTTGGGTAAACGGCCCATGAATGTCTACTATAGTGCAATTACTACAGGCATGCAGTGTGTGGTTGTGTGAACTCTGACGAGCGTAATTAACCTTTTTTTTTTATTTTCATCGGCTGTGTGCCTCTGGGATTCTGCTGGCAGTTACCATTGACTTTCACTTTTCTGGAATTTGAACCTTGGTACGTCGTCAGTAATTGCAGGTTAGAAAAGGTTGAGTAGCGTCAGGGTTGAAGTGCTTAAAAAAAAGTCCCAATAATGTGTGATGGCATAGACCACACCTTATTATTGTTACAGGCTCATTCACAACGTCTCATGCATTGTGTGTAGATTCAGTATCTACATCATGGACAACAGCAGTGGACACACACTGGCTGTTGTAGGGAATCAAACATGTGGCTTTCCTGTTTAAGGACCGCCTCTGTAATGTGCAGCATCAATATAACATATTAATATTATATGTCAGTCCTCTGCTACAATCACCTAAAATGAACTTGACCAACAATGATGTTAATCCCTATATTTCCGTCCAGTGGTCGATACTCTTTAGTGCTACTGTGCTGAGAGATGTTTCCCATAAAACATGTAGCGCTGCTCTCCCCTACACATGTGATGTGGTAAGGTTTAGGGTAAGTCACTTTGCGATGGACTATCTCGTTGACTTCATCTGAAATAAGTACATTATATACAATCTGATTTTGAAGCTGGCAAAAGCTGGCAGGTTCTTTATTTACAGTAATTGTATCATTACCTGAATCTTTGTTTGTAATAACGCTACCTTTAGCCCCTTTAATCATCAGCCATCTTTAGATCTACTGCGTAAAAGTAGATAATAAGTCAAAGATGTACAATTTAAAGTGTAAAACCATTCAATATATTTCCATTCTTCATGACTGTAAAACCTCCTCTGCTTTTTGTGCACGTAAACACACAGGGCACAGAGGTTGGATTCCCACCGGTGCCGCCTATTTTAAAAATGTACACTATTCTTTTGCTGTAAGGTACCTTGTATAAAAGTCTCCATCAAACAGTGTGCATTATGTTAACATAGATGACATTGAAAGGACATGGCGCCTGCAGTGGCCATTTGTCCTTTCTACCTACGTATCTCTTTATTCCCCAAAGCTTCCCCTCAGACAGACGGAGGTCCGGCACTGCCCAGATAAGCACACAAGACCCGTCCTTATCTGCCTGGCGGGGTAACATGGCCCGAGCTAAAATAACCAGCAATGGGGGCCCGGCTATCTTCACAAGGCCCCGAGAATACAATAGATCCCGGCAAACACAATCGGCCAGCAAGAGGGGGAAAAAAAAAACCTCACACTGTGCACACAGACGCTTGTTAAGCTAATACAGCTACCACCTGCTACTGGCCGCCACCTCTGTTGGACCTGATAACACAGAATACACCAGCACTGTGATTATAGAGTGGTGGAAAGTGGGAGGTGGGTATATGTGAATATGAGACAGCTCCATTTACAC